ATGGGGAGATTCCGATCTCTATCACCAATGCTTCTAATATATATATATTGGAATTGGAAAATAACTCATTCAGTGGCTCCATACCGAACTTCGGCAGCTTAAGGCTCTTACGTAGGCTTTACATTTGGGGTAACTCTCTGACTGGAATAGGATTTATCTCTTCATTAGCTAGTTGTCAGCTTTTGGAGGATTTAGAGGTTTCGTTCAACCCACTTAACGGCATCCTCCCTGATTCCATCGGGAATTTATCAAAATCTCTCACAAAGTTCCAGGCACGTGGCTGCAACATTACTGGAGTTATTCCTTCTACCATCGGAAAACTGACTGGTATGCACATTTTAGATTTAGGAGGAAATCAAATCACAGGAGTTATACCTCCATCATTGGGGAAACTAAATCAGCTTCAAAGATTATCTCTTTATACCAATCAACTGCATGGGTTTATCCCTCAAGATATTTGTGGGATGAGTAATATAGGTGACTTGTACCTGAACGAAAATAACCTCGCAGGACCCATACCCGAATGCTTCGGTGAACTTAAATCTCTAAGATATATCTACTTGGGTTCCAACAAGTTGAATTCCAGCATACCTCACAACTTCTGGAACTTGAAGGACATTTTGTTTCTCGACTTGTCCTCAAACCGTTTGACTGGTCAACTTCCATATGAAATTGCAGATTTGAGACAACTAAATCAACTAGATTTGTCCTATAATCAATTTTCAGGAGACATTCCAAGATCAATCGAAGGTTGCGAATCATTAACATCTCTAAATTTGTCAAGTAACAAATTTGAAAGATCTATTCCTCCATCACTGGGGAATATCAGAGCTTTGAGGGCATTGGATTTATCAAATAATAATCTTTTGGGGATGATCCCGGAGTCCTTAGAGGGCCTCAAATTGCTTCAATACTTTAATGTGTCTTACAACAAGTTGGAAGGAATGATTCCTACGGGTGGCCCTTTTGTTAACATTACTGCTCAATCTTTTCTTCACAACTCTGCTCTTTGTGGAGATCAAAGATTTCAAGTGCCTCCATGCACTGGGAATAATCTCAAGAGATCTAGACTGAAGAAAGTTGATCGGCTGATGAAGAAGTATATTCTGCCTCCATTCATTTCAGTTATCATATTAACAGCCATTATAGTACTTGTTTTGGGGAGGACACGAAAACCAAAAAGAGGGCTTCCTCCTATTTCCCTTGGTGATACTTGGAGAAGAATCTCATATATAGAACTTGTTAGGGGAACTGATGCCTTCAGCGAAACAAACTTACTTGGAAACGGCAGCTTTGGTTCGGTTTTCAAAGGGGTGCTTTCTGATGGACTAAATGTTGCAGTGAAAGTCTTCAACTCGCAGTTAGAAAGAGCTATCCACAGTTTTGATACGGAATGTGAAATACTTAGCAGCATTCGGCACAGAAACTTGGTCCAAATTATTGGCTGTTGTAGCAACACAAAATTCAAAGCTTTGGTTCTCCGGTTCATGCCAAATGGCAGCCTCGAGAAATGGTTGCACTTGGAAAATCGTGTATTGGATTTGATACCAACGCTTCAAATTGCAATAGATGTCGCATTAGCCTTGGAATATCTCCATCATGGCCATCCATTCCCTGTCGTTCATTGTGATATAAAGCCGAGTAATGTGTTGCTTGACGAGGATATGGTTGCCCACCTTTGTGATTTTGGGATAGCCAAGCTCTTTGATGATGGGGAGAATATTGTTCTTACGAAAACCTTGGGGACGATTGGTTATGCCGCACCAGGTGACATTCTTAATGTTGAATATCTTAATTCCTTATTTATTATCTATCTTTTCATTTTATTTTTCCTTTATGCTTCATTCTATATTATTTTACATAACTAGTACAATACCCGTGTAATACACGGGTGCTTGTTAATATATTTATTTTTAAAATACAAAAATATATAAAAAATGTTTTAACTTTCAAATACTTTTTTTGAAAAACTATATTATGATATATATTTAAAATAACACCCATCAATTATACGACTTATCATATTATATTATGATATTTTTTTAACTTATATCATATAACTACTTCGTGGATAAATTAATTTAAATAAATTTTTCAATTAATATTAATAGGAGAATTATTTATTTTTTTGGAGATAAATATAATTATTTATTTACATTTTATGTACATTATAGATGTCAAATTGAAGCTCTACGTGCTTAATATATTATATATAAAAATTGACAATAAATTAAAAATATTATTACCTTTTAAATATATTTCAAATTTAAGTTAGTAAACTTTTTATCAATATAAAAGAAAGATAATGTTGCAAAAAAAAATAATAATAAAAAATAAAAGAAAGATAAGGAAAAAAAGTTCTTACAAACCACATCTAGAATTAGAAATAATATTAATATTAAAAAGGATCCAGTTGTTCCAGGCATAGTTATTGGACCAGAAGCAAATAAAAGTCCATCTAAGCCAAGTGACAAAGCATGAAAATATACCAAGTAGGATCTCAAAGCGTGCGAGTCTGCTTAGGCTCAAGAATTATATATAGGGGATGGGTCAATTAGAAACTTTTTCTTTTTCAGATTTAATGTAGCTACTCTTTACTAAATTCAAACAATCATTCCCAACTTAATATGTTTATCTAAATTAAAAAATTTATACTAATCCAACGATAACGTTGTGCTTGTGATTAGAATATGGATCAGGAGGCAGAGTGTCAACAAGTGTAGACGTTTATAGCTATGGCACACTGTTGTTGGAAATGGTTACAAAGAAGAAGCCAACTGATGACATTTTCAATGAAGAGATGAGCATGAAGGAGTGGGTACTTCAAGCACTACGAGAAAATGCAGTAGCTTAAATCGTGGGCTCTACTTTGCTAGCAAGTGACGATCAGCATTTTCATGCAAAAGAAGAATGTGTCTCGTCTATCTTTGGTTTGGCAATGAGATGTCTGGCCGTTATGCCCGATGAAAGGATTAACATTATGGAAACAATAGCTACATTACAAAGGATAAAAGCCAAATTTGTGGCTGATACTACAAGTCGTCAACAATATGCATTGTCCATTATTTCGAGACAGTAGGTATTGATATATAATACAATGTGAAATAAAGACGGTGGCATATATGACCAGGTAGTTATTATGTTCCAGACTGTGATGTACTGCTTGAAATAAACAATGGGCTTTCTACTCGGGTTTGATCAAATGAAATCAAAACTTTTATACAGTTGCAAGTACCTAAAGGTATATTAAAATGAGATGTCATTGATGTTCGGGAGAATCTGCTAATTACCACAGCACACAAGCTCGAAATGTCTCTTAGATGATTTATACAATAATTTGATTTTGAGGAACTTTTTTGCATCTCATGCCATTACTACCTGAAACTGAGGACAATAGAAGGTTCTAATTTGATTTCAAAAATGGACCATCTACTTGGGGATTGAAATACATTATAAAAGTTTTGAAAGGCTTTGATGTACTGTTAGATTTATAATTTTTGTTCAAGGTATAACTAAACAATATATGATTATGACTCTACTATCTTTTACCATATCTAGGTCCGATGGGTGGTGTTAGAATGCACTCTCGTTGCCTGGAGGTAGACTTTAAAGACAGTGTGATCGAATCAAAATGTCATATATATAATTTCTAAGTAACTAATTCTGAGATTCTTTTCTTCCAATGGACAACAACTTTAAAAAATAATACTGCATTTCAACATTTATAACACCACTTCATTTTCAAAAACAATCTCAACCATCCAACGGCTTCTTCATCCACTCCCTTTCACTCCTCTTCTAAATTCAGACTCCACACTCTGCGGCCACTCTCCACAAACTGGCTTCACAATTTTCCAAATCTACGACCCTTTATTCTTTTTAGTTGAGTGCCTTATTTGGAATATTTATTTTTTATTTATGAGCAATCATAATTCTCAAGATGTGCCTACAAATATATATATATAATATCAAACAAAACAAAACACTCCTCAATTATATCGAAGCGAAACGAATATAACTAAGTCATCTTCATCTTCTAAGCATGCATGTTTAATGTTTTTCACTGGGATCACTTTCATACTCTAGTACCAAAATCAAAATTTAACTAAAGCCCAGAGTAGTACCTGGGGGAAAACGGCCCGCTTCAAAGCAAAGTTCTCGAGCAGGCCCGCCAGCTAGGAAACGCGTCTCATGGAACTTGGATTGGGTCCATATCTCGGGCCCGGGCCCGGTCAGGACCAAGGCGATGTCCACAAATTTGAGCAAACTGTCTGAAAATAAACATGAATTTTCCTAAACATAGAGGTCTCAGGCATTCAGATTTCATATCGTCACCTGATAATTTCCAGATTCGAATCGCCCAAATCAAATATCCAAATTCAGCATATGCCCAATCAACGAAAATATACACACAAAAAAAAAAAAACATCTGAATAAACTGAATTCCGATGCCATTAACAAGTATCATAATAACAACAAACAACTTATGCGAACGAAAACCACGCAAATATCAATATCAATAATTTAAAAAAATAAGGTGAGCAGCCGATTTAAGATCATTTGCGGCAATAGAAACCATATGCAGAGAAGATTACATACCTCAGCTGAAAATTTGCGAACCAGAAATCAAAACAAGACAGGCAGGCTCGGAGTTTACGCTTATAAAAAATTGGGTGAGCTTTATAAATAAATCAGGCTTTGTTTATTGTTTTCTAATAGGCAAACTAGAAGGTGAGTTCAAAGATTGACTAAATTGTAATTTTAGTCTTGTATGTTTTACTATCTAAACATTTTCGTCCTATTCGAATTACGTTTTTTATTTTCGTTTCGTATGTTTGCAAAAAGGTTACAAAATGTCACTTTCGCAACAAAAATGTCTTTTATGTTTTGCCAAAAAAGTTCCAATATCGCCCCTTATGTATGAAAATGATTTTTTTATAATTTTTTTGCAAAAAATCTCCGATGTTTCGCCTTCGCCAGGCGGGCCTACCGAGCTAACAATGCCCCTAACTTTCTTCGACATCATGTGGGTCCATTTCCACCCTATCCAACGCCTTCTCTTTTACGACTACCCTTTTTTCGAACCCAACTTCTCAGAGAACCTCTTCCCAGTTCTCAAACGATCACTTCCGCTCGCTTTCCAAGACTACCTTCCCTTATCGGGTCACTTGACTACCCTCTTAACACGGCCCATGATGATGACAAGAAGCCCGTTTTTTGTTACCGGGGACTCGTTCACGACCGCGGTGTCTGGACACGACTTTGACGAGCTCATTGCAGACCATGCCCAGGATGCCGATCAATTTTACGAATTTGTCCCCGAGATGTCGCCATCAAAAGATGAGCTCGACTGCAAGGCAATTTCGGTTGTAGCCCTCAAAGCATCACTTTTTCCTGGTCGAGGTGTATGCATCGACTTTTCCAATCATCATAGTATTGGCGACGCTTGTTCGAGATTTTTGGCTTCTTGAAGGCGTGGTCATCCATCGTGAAATCTAAAGGAGTTGATTTTTCTTTTTTGCCTTTTGATAGATGTTTCATCGAGGATCCTTCGGGTGTTGGCAATATTAATTAGAAATTGATGAGGGAGATTCCTTTGAAAGCAAGGTCCTTTCCTTTGCCCACGAATAAGGTTAGAGCGACTTTTACTCTCGACCGGGCTAATACAGAGAGGCTTAAGGACTTGGTTTCAGCTGAGAAACTGAGTCTTGGTCGAGTCTCATCATTTGTTGTCCCAGTTTCTTATGTTTTGGCTTGTCTGGCCAAATCGATCGGCGAAATTGGAGAAGAAACGGACGATGATGTGGTGGACTAATTGATTTTCGCTGTGGATTGTGTCCGCATGGATCCTATCATTCTGGATAATTATTTCGGCAACTGTTTAGGATTCAGGTTGGTGAAAATCGAACATAGACAGTTGGTGGGAGGAAAAGGATTCGTGATACTTGTTGAGGTTGTTGCCGAAGATATTAAAAATAGGTTGAATAACAAGCATGAGGTTTTGAGAGGTGCCGAGAATTGGATTTCGAATATCCGAGAATTGAAGGGATCGAAGAGTATGAGGGGACTTGGAGTGTCGGGTTCTCTGAAATTCGACTTTTCGGATGTCGATTTTGGGTGGGGAAAGGCAAGAAAGTTGGAAGTGGTGTCGATCGATGGGGACCATTATTCAATGTCGTTGAGTAAGTCGAGGGATCCAAATGGAGGATTGGAGGTTGGATAAAGGGATGGAATGGAAGCTTTTGGTGTTGTATTTGCTAAGGGATTAATGGGAGCTTGAGATGTTATGTGTGTAGTTATTGAGCCATGTTAACTTTTTTCAATTGTGTGATCCATTCCTAGCAAAGCTATTTTATGATCGTTAGTTTGGGGCTTTCGTGTTGCTCTAGACATCAAGTATGATTGTATGAAGTATGATGAACGTACTGAAAATTTTTGTGTAAAGAGAAAAAGCGAATACAGTAGAGTTTGTCCTTTTGTCTTTAGACTTGGGCTACAAATACAATTATATGAGTATGTGTGTTTGTAGAACACAAAGTTTGTCCTTTCCCCCTTTATATATTTGGGTTACAAATAAAATTATATGATTATATATGTGTTTGTAATCTGGCGATTCAATCTGGTGTCATCACGGAATTTTGAGCTGTCATATCAATACAACACTTATATGAGTATCAGTGCGCGTGTAATCTAACGATTCAAAATCTGGCGCCATCAATGCTCTTATTGATATGATTACATCTTTTCTCATTTGTTTCTTATAAGGAAAATAACCACTTACAAACACAACACAATATCACAACACTGATACGAGCTAAGTGTTATGTCAAACAAAATGAGTAACATAATTTTAAAAATATAAAACATTTAAGATTAAAACTTATATTTATATTATCTTAAATTTTATGAACATAATTTTTATTATTAAATCTCGAATGTTGTATTTCTATTATATTTTTTCTAAATGGAACAAAAAGATGTGTAGCAGAGATGCGTATGTTGCGTCGGTTTTGCAGGCACACAAGAAGGGATAGAATCCGGAATGAGGATATTCGAGATAGGGTCGGGGTGGCTCCAATTGAGAAGAAATTGGTTCAACATCGGCTGAGGTAGTTGGGACATGTCCAACGGAGGCCTCCTGATGCACCGGTGCGTAGGGGAGTTCTACAGCGGGTCGATGATGTTAAGAGAGGTAGAGGTCGGCCTAAACTCACTTGGAAAGAGCCGGTTCAGAGAGACCTTAAAAATTGGAATATCTCCAATGATTTAGCGGTGGATAGGAGCGCTTGGAGGCTAGCGATCAACGTGCCGGAACCGTGACTTTTGCTCATTTCTCTTTTGCTCCAATCTCTTTGTTTGTTTTGTTTTGTTTTGTTTTGAGTCATTTTTTGTGTTTCTTACTACTTTTTCTCTTGGGTTTCATCTCTAGCATACCCCAACTTGTTTGAGACTAAAAGGCTTTGTTGTTGTTGTTGTTGATGTTGGAAAAAAAAATGGACAAATAGTGTGCAACTATAATCCGACCCTGTGTACTCGGTCATGCATGGGCCTTCATTTGATGGGCCTATTTTAGAAGAAAAGGGAAAGTGGGTTTGTAAAATATAAGCCCGTGTTTGCCCAAATGTCAATCTACTAATTGAGGAATTGAGGAATTTACACCACATACCATTCAATACACTTTATATTACATTTATACACCCGATAAATATATATTTGCAACTCTACTAAATTCTACATACTTATTTGCACATCTACCAAATTTTTCAATTTATTAATTATGGAGAATAAATATAGAAAGAGAGGTATATTTATAACCAATCCCTATTATCAAGGAATTAATTTTCTCTTTCTTTCATCTTGTTCTCCATTATCTCAATCATTTCCTCATCAACTATTTACTTCAAATGAAACGCAGTTCAAATTAAAAATATTGTGCATGGCCTCAAGGTAGCAAATGAAGGTAGGCATGAGAAAAAAAAATATAATAATTGTGTTTAATTTGTATTATTGGTTAATTAATTGCTTATTTTCTATCAATTTTGTTTTCATTTGATGACTCTGGATCGAGAGGAAGAAACAAGAGGTGGTGAAAAGCAAAACCCACAGTAAGTATAATTGTATCTCTTCATTTATTTATATTAATTTTGTCCTGTTTTTGTTTATATTTAATTGTGTCTCTCGAGTAGATGTTGCTCGCTGGTGGCGATGACGGGTAGTGAACGGACGCCGACGGCGGTTGCAGGCCTCTCGTGTTCGGTGACTTGCTGATGGAGATCCTCGGCGATGGTTGCGTGTTCGGTGACTCGCTGAATTTATTTTATATGTACAATATATATACATATACTGGGATATGTACAATTATTGTACATCTTAATTTATGTTTAGTATATTAGTTTATGTACAAATTAGTTTTTGAATGAATGTATGTTTTTTTTTTTTCAATGTTTATTCATAGTTTATGTTTGGTATATTATAAGATTTTATTGACAAAGCATAAACAGATTTTTTATTTTCGTTTATATTTATGATTTATAGTAAGTTTATTTTCAGTATATGATAAAGAAATTTATCGCGATACAAAGCATAAATTGATTTATTTTTTCTTTTTTTTTTTGTATATGTATGGTATATATTCAGTATATTTTCGATATATGATAGAGAAAAAAGAAAAAAAAAAA